AGGAACTAGAGATCTGTGTGCAGTCACAGGGCTTTGATTTCATTGCAATTACAGAGATGTGGTGGGATAGCTCACATGACTGGAATGTTGTCATGTCTCCTAAACATGCTGTACAGTGGTGGAGTTGCCCTCTATGTGCAACAACACTTCAAATGTATTGAGCTCTGTCCTGGTGTGGACGATGAGCAAGTCGACAGCCTATAGGTTAGGATAAAAGAGCAAATTAGTAAGGGTGACACTGTTGTGGGTGTTTGCTACAGGATGCCTGATCAGGAGAAGAGAGTGGATGAGGCCTTCTACAGACAGCTAGAAGCTGCTTTAAAGTCACAGGCACTGGTTCTTGTGGGGAACTTTAACTACCCTGACAACTGCTGGAGAAACAACACAGCAAAATACAAACAGTCCAGGAGGTTCCTGTAAAGCATGGATGACAACTTTCTGACACAGGTAGTGGAGAATCCCAGAAAGAATGGTGTGCTGCTTGATCTTATACTAACCAACAGGGAAGGCCTTGTAGGAGATGTAAGGTGGGGGGCAGCCTTGGCTGTAGTGACCATGAGACTGTGGAGTTCAGTACTGGGCAAGAAAGAAGCAGGGTAGCTGAGTAAGATTGCAACTATAGACTGTAAGACAGCTAACTTTAGCCTTTTCAGTGATCTTCTGGGAAGAATCCCGTATCTAGGAATATGCTCTGCAGGGAAGAAGGGTCTAAGAGAGCTGGTTGATATTCAAGGATTACTTCCTCTAGGCTCAAGAATAATGCAACCCAATGAGCAAGAATTCAGGCAAAGGGGGCAAGAGAACTGCATGAATGAACAAAGAACTCCTGTTATTACTCAAGCACATGCAGAAAATATACAGGAGATGGAAGCAGGGACAGACCACTCGGAATGAATACAGATTGTCACAGAAAGTAGAAACAAGATAAGGAAGGCCAAGGCCCATCTGGAATTAAATCTGGCCAAGGATGTCAAGGACAACAAGAAGGGCTTTCTCAAATACATCAGTAGCAAACCAAAAACTATGGAAAAAGTGGTCCCATTACCAAATGGAGGGGGGACCCTGGTAACAGAGGATGCAGAGAAAGCAAAGTAACTTCACTGACAAGACCAACCCTCAGGGATCTCTCACCCAGGAGACCAGGGTAAAGGAGAGTTGGAAGGAAGACAAAATGCACCCACTAGAGCTCAGAAAGCTGGTGGATACCATAAAGAGGTCACTCATGAACATCTCTGAAAGATTGTGGGGATCAGGAGAGGTGCCTGAGAACTCATTTTGCAGAGAAGGATCTGGTGGTCCCAGTGGACAATAAGCTGTCCATGAGCCAGCAGTGTGCCCTTGTGGCCAAGAAGGCCAATGGTATCCCGGTATGCACTAGGAAGAGCATTGCTGTTGTCAAGGGAGGTGATCTTGCCCCTCAGCTCTGAGGAGGCCACATCTGCAGTATTGTGTCCACTTCTGGACACCTCAGTACAAGAGAGATATGGAGCTCCTGGAGCAGATCCAGCAGTGGGCAACAAAGATGATTAGGGGATTGAAGCATCTCTCTTACAAGGATAAGGTGAGACAGTTGGGCTGTTCAGCCTAAAGATGACCGAGAGAAAACCTTATCAACATCTATAAGTATCTGAAAGGAAGGTGTTAAGAGGATGGGGCCAGGCTCTTCTTGGTGGTGCTAAGCAGTAAGACAAGAGGGAATGGGTAGAAACTGATGCACAGGAAATTCTGCCTGCATATGAGGAAGAACTGCTTTACTGTGCTGGTGATCACACACTGGAACAGATTACCCAGAGAGGTTGTGGAGTCTCCTTCACTGAAGTTGTTCGAGAACCAGCTGAACACAATCCTGTGCGATGTGCTCCAGGATGATCCTGCTTGAGCAGGGAAGTTAGATCAGATGATCCACTGTGGTCCCTTTCAACCTTACCCATTCTGTGATAACGTCCTTACTCAGACAATCAGCTTTGAGAGAGCATTGATGCTTCATTCTAATGAAGTTCTCTTTAGTGTGCCTAATAGCACAAAAAGATGCCATTAAACCCAGTACGGCATTTTCCTCACAGGATTTGGTCCCAAGTAAATGCCTAACTCAAAGATTACTTAGAATCCCAGGAAAACATAGGCAGCCCAGAGCTGGAAATCTTCAGGACAACTGAGAGTCAAATCAAACATGACTGAGGTCTCAGATGCTCAAAAAAAAAAAAAAAAAAAAAGAAAAGAAAAAGAAAAACCAACCCCAGGACCTGGAATTCTGGAGCTTCAGCTTTGGCTTCCTGTCTAGTTTAGTTCTACTCTTGCTGACTACCTCCCCAGTCAATATTTAGTATGCTATCTACTGTTCACTTACCCAAAAGGAACTATCCAGGAGAATGATGATTTGTGTTCTGATTAAATATCCTGCTACTCTGGAATTACTGTGATTAATCTACATCACAGTTCAGTGTTTCAGATGCAATTCAGGGTGGGACTAATGAAGTTAGGCTTCTCTAGACAGCTGCGAAACTTCCAAGTTTATAAGGAAAATCATACCAACATATTATAGTTACAGAAGCATTTCAGTCAACTCACTTAACAGAATGATCAATGCAAGAGTCAGTGTCTGTCATTTCTAATTACATTTTTAGAATGGCTTCAGTTTTTACCCCAACTCTTTCTCCTCACATTTTCTTGCACATCTTCCTTCACAACACATCTGCACTCAGAGGAAACTGTTTTTTTACACTCATTGCAAGATACAGAGGACAGCAGTGTTTCTCTTACATAGCTGCTGCTTACTATCATGTAGATATTCTTGTGTGTTAACACTCCCCAAACAAAAACAAAAGGAAGATGTAAAAGCAAACAATAGATCATTTCAGTCCAGCTGCCAGACACCCTCCAGAGACCAGTGACATAGGAACCACCAAGACTGTTTTGAAAGAACATATCAAAGACAAAAAGAAAGCCCCACAACAGATCAGTGTGAGAAGTGAAGGTGGAAACCTGAGCCAAGTCATCAGTTTATGCACATTGCTGGAATTATCAACTCAACAAGAAGTGTCACTTAAAACCAGACTTTATGTGAACTGTTGTCCTACTACTTCCTTTTGCTGGATGTTACACTTCTGCATCAGATAGCAGTATGTGCAATTTCCCATTTAGCATCATGCTTAATCATTCAGCAAGTGGCAAATTCAAGGCAGAAGCTTACTAGCCTTCTACGTTTCCCAAATGCTGCCAATGTTCCTAGACACAGACAGCAGTTACTCCATTGCACTACAGAGCCCTCTGTGCTGGCAGTCAGCACCCACTGAGCAAGGTTATCAGGAGTAGCTGCTGAGCAATTGCTGTGTGCCAGTCCCTGGAGGGGCCTCTGGGCCTCTGCAGAGTTCACATCATTTCTTAGACATGAGAAGGCCATGAAGCCTGTTCGTACAGATGCTGCAAGGATGCACACCATCAGTCAGGCAGCTGGCATAGGTAACAGTAAGAGAAAAACCCAGAAAGTTCAAAATCCCACGGGGCACAAACCCCTGTAGTGCTATATTTAAACAGACTGATATATTGTATTCTCTGTATATCATTGATACAATATATTCAGCTTGTAGAAGCTGTTAACATACTTCATCTCTCTTTTGAGGCTCACAGAAAGTCTCCCATACAAAAGAGATGCTGAATACAAACCTCTCTAATGCATGGTTATGTCCACAGAAGAGACACCCGAATAAGACACAGTACTCAATGCAATGTATTGACAATCCAAGCTGTGCAAGGCACACACACACACACAGTGCAATCATTCATTATGGAAAAAATCTTAGTCCCAGAACAAATCGTCTTGCAGGAACTCAAGACCTCCAGCCAGAGACATGTTTATAATTGATTAGCAATCAGGGCAGCATCAAGGGAAATGGGAAAAAAAGTAGAAATGTAAACGAAACTACAGTGTCAGCCCCACATTTAAGAAAACAACTGGGAGCATATTTACCTTCTCTTTGTTTTTGTGTCTCACATTACACAATGCCCACTTGCACAGTTCAGCACAGAAATCTCCAAATCAGTATTTTTCACTAAACTGTCATATTTTAAACCCACCTTGTCCATGACTCAAGCCACCACACCTCAGTTTATCATGGCTGTGACACATGAGCACACACACAGCCTGTCCTGCCAATGCTGCATTAGAGAAATCTTCAGCAAAGGGCAATAGCAAACAGGAGTGATGGTTGTGATGCCTTACCCGCCACATCATCCCACTGGCTTATCTGCCAGTACTCTTTATCATCACACTATATTAAAGGGCATATTCAGCAGAGTTGAGTCACTCTACACTCTTAAATCCAATTAAAGTCAACATGAACTAAAGATGTTCAGGATGTCATGACATCAATTACCAATTAACAGTCCACTTGCATGGGAGGGTAAATCAGCACACCACCAAAAAACCTTTGTGCTGCAAAGTGCATGTTCTGAAACAACCAAGCTCAAGTGTTCCAAAGAAAGAAAATTAATCTGTGAAAGACGCCCACTGAGCCTCCCTCCTGCAAGGAAGCAGTAAGATAACTAGATCTGGAGGCTGTAATATGGACTGTTAATCAACAGGATTCCTATTTTTCTTCAGTCTACTGCAAAGGCATGGATTATTAGTAACACTACAAGCCTGCCATTCATTTTGTTATTGCAGCATGACCAAGCAATAAAAGTGAACCAGCAGATTTTGCAGAAGAAGCAGTGTTATGTTTATCAAGATTTGACCTTCAATGACAAATATTTCCATTCTTTCTCAGAGAGAACTACCTCTAATATCAGAGGGGAGTACTACCACTAGCAGCAGAGGAGATGTGGAGCAGCAGCAGCACCAGCACAAGATGAACCTTCAAAGGAGAAAACAACCAGTAGAATGGCATTTCCCTGAAAAAAACCCACCAACCTGGTAACAGGAAAATCCTCTTTCAAACTCCCTAACAAAAAGAGACAGATAACTCACAAATACCTTCCAGTCCTCTGTGATTTACTCTTACCTCTGTGACGTTTTCTTGTATTTTCTCCTGCAGGAAAAGAACAAAATACAACTGAGACAGGAAGGCTCCACAGGTGAGGAGAAAAGAGTAGGGTCAGAAATCAGGAGCAATTCAGTGAAGCCACTTCTGCCATAAAATTGCCCCAAACCTGATATAGCCATTCCCTTCTGCTAACCTCAGTGGAGGCTGCCACTAAATTCAGGAGAAAAACCTGTGTGTTTTCCTGCATGCACATACTGTCCTTTCTTGTGAGACAGGTTTGCTGCAGCTAAGAAAGAACGATTTACTATTCTAAATGACTTAGCAGGAAGTCCAAGTGTCAGAAACTTACTTGTACTTATTAGTAGTAGTTTTTAAGTCTCCATCCAACAGGTAAGTACGGTTTTATCTGTAAAGATGTCATTAAGATGGAGTGATGCAATGCATCCAACCATATTGTCTGTGGTCACTCTGTGGAAAACCCCACTGGTTTTACAGCAGTCTTGCTCTAAAAAGAAAGTCTAGATCTTATCAAGTTCTCTTTTCCACCAAATCCCAGATACCACACCACAGAGCTTCCCTTCATTGAAAGTATCTTGGGACCTAACTGACCTTAGCCCAGGACTAGGAATAACAAGAGCAGATAAGCATACCGACAGGACCTCTTCTCCTCCCCAACACTCACATCACATCAAATATGGCAAAGACTGTAAACCTCTTACTCTTCTTAGCATTGCGGATTTTGTCTTCCAGGCAATGACAGAAGCTGCTAATGCACAGAGTAAGGCAATAACCATGCCTTTCTGCATGGTTATCTGTGTGGCTATACAGTTAACTGCAGAGATGTATCAGCACTGTATGCTGTCTGTGAGCTATTGATTACGTAGCCTTTACCAAAGGCTTTGCACAGTGGCTGGTAAAACAGGGCATTGGTTTACTTGAGCTCAGCTCTGCTTTTATGTTTTAAAGTAAAACTAATGATCTTTAAAGTTTCAGTCATTACCTGTGAAGAAGTTTCGAAGTGGACTGTGATGAGAAGTGCCCTGTTATTTAGCCATACATTGACAAATATTCCCAACATTTCCTATGTGTAGGTAATACTGGTAAAATAGGTGTACTGCTATAAGCATCAAGTTCACTTTTTCATCTCTGATACTACTGTACATGGGAAATTGTGGCTAAGGCGGGCCTAGAAAACCCAAACAAGGGGTATTGCTCTTAAAAATAAGAAGAAACATGGAAAAAAGTAATGTGGTGCTATTTTCTACTTAACAAGGGCCATAAATAACGTCTCCTTGTCGTCAAATGTTTCATCCAACAAATACCTTTACAAATTGTACTCCAGGTTGTACCCACTTCTGTATTCTGACCACGTTAGAATTATAGAAGTCCCAAATATCTACTTTAAAAGATATTTTGTTTACAATTTACTCTGTGAAAAATTACTTATTTTAACTTGAAGAGATGTAAAGGAGTAAAAGAGCAAACATTCATAGCAGTATAAAGTTTATAGCTTACTGACATTCAAGATGTTGATACATACAAGCAGAAGCCCACTTGAGCTGATTCTAAGAGAAATTTTCATTTCAGAAGGATTAAAAGTAGAAATTTTATTTTGAAGATTAAGCATTCAGAAGTATTCTGTATTCCGACAAATACAGAACTTCACTATACGTTCTTGCAAAAAAACTTGCTGAAAAATACACCACCTAGTTGGCCATTCCAATCCACACTGATTAAAAGATCTTATTCCCAAGAAATCCAAATGTGTTTAAGTTTTCAAATGAAGTTATTTGTAAGTTAATTCTTTCCCCTGAAATCCTCTTATGGTTCATTCTAACACCACCAGAACCATTTTTCCCTTCCTTGGTTAGTGACTTTGATATCATTTTATAAAGTGTTTCTCTTTCAGCCAAGCTTCACATTTTAGCGAAGAAAACATTTGTTAAATCTTGATTAGCTAAAATTTCCCTCTATATTTTAAACAGTTGACCCAGCCTTAGGGTGCTCTTTGTGTTTGAGTAATAACACCACTTTTCTGATCAGTTACACCTTTAATCTTTTCACTCAAAAATATTTTTAATGCATTTGAAAGCATTAAATGACTGATGACAGTACTAGGAAAAAACAATTTGCCTGTCATAGAAATTAAAAAAAAAAATATATACATTTTTATTGGTTTTGTTTATTGTTTCCACACCTGCGATCCAATTACAGTTAAGGTTTACATGCACCAAGTTAGCAACTGAATTTGAAAGTATTGAATTTGCATGTCACAGTTGAAGAGAATATAACTAGAGGAACCCTTTTTTATAGATTCAGTATCATGACTACATGCACACATTTTAAAAGGAAAACCATTAGCAAATCCTGAAATCCAAGAAAAAAAATTCTGTATGCTTTTCAAAAACAAAGTCCAACAAAGCTACTCATCAACATTATAAAAAGATGGTGTTGATAACATAAAGTTATTCATAAATATAGTCTTCAGTTTCCTTTTCATAGAATCATAGAATCAGCTGTGCTGGAAAGGACCTCTGAGATCATCAAGTCCAACCCTCGATCCACGACCATTGTGGTTACTAGACCATGGCACTGATGCCACATTCAGTCTCATCTTAGAAACCTCCAGGGATAGAGAATCCACCACTTCCCCGGGCAGCCCATTCCAATGCCTGATTACCCCCCTTTGTAAAGAACTTCTTCCTAATATCCAACCTAAACCTCCCCTGGCGCAGCTTAAGACCATGCCCTCTTGTCGTACTGCTGGTTGCCTGGGAGAAGAGACTAACCTCCACCAGGCTACAACCTCCTTTCAGGGAGTTGTAGAGAGTGATGAGGTCTCTACAAATCACCACTTACACCTGCCTTCCATTAAAGGAAACAAGGAAATTATAAAATACCTCTTTAATACCACAGCCATCATCAGAAACTGCCTTCAATCAGCATTCATGTGTAAAAAGAGGAAACTAGAGGGTGGGGATTTGGATGTGGTTGGGTGAGGTTTTTTTGTTTTGGGGATTTTTTTTTGTGCGGGTTTTTGTTCAGTTGTTTATTTAAAAAAAAACGTGGGACAAGCTATCCTGATTTATGTCCCCAGGAAGAGTCTATGAAGTGAGGAACTAGCTGCAAAATTGCTTTTAGCAGATGCTTTGGGATAAACCTGGAAATAGACACATCTTTCAGTCAAGCTCAAGGGACTTCAGATTTTCTGAACAAACCCAAGCTATAACCTCTTTCCTAGGAGAGGAAAAATGAGAGAGATTTAAAGGAAGTGATGTTACAGCTTCCAACACCCGTGGGCTGTCCTGTGCTCAAGCCTGCAAGAGTTTGTTGATATTACCAAATCTGTGTATGTTCAGTTTCTTTTCTGACTTGACACATGTCATGCTCGAACTGCCACATCCCTTTAATTCCTGTTACCTGCTGTGGAATGTATTATCCATACGTCTAAATTTAGCTTACATTAAAAAAAATTAATTGGAACCAAGTAGATCTATTTTTTTCAATGCTGAAGAGAATTAGCAGGTGACTCACACTAGGTAGGCCCTATATAATCAGTGTAAACTTAATGTAGTTACACCTGCAGGAGTATAGTATGAAATGAGTCAGTCCTAGTAAAAGAAGGCTGCTAGAGCCTAAAGAAAAAAAACCCTGTAAGACATTTAAAAATAGATACTTTGTAAGCAAAATTGTGGGTAGGACGAAATATTTTACTCAAATAAGATGAAATTAATGAGAAAGTTGAGCCCGCTATTTCAGTATCTGTTCCTCTGGGGATGAATGAATCCTTCTTGTGGCCAGAGGAATGACACAGTACACTGGCCCAAAATAAAATTAGGACAGATTTTTAAAGGTATTTAGCAACAATAAGATGTAGCTAGCTGCAGCTGTATGGGCACTCAACTCCCATTGAAATAAACAGACATGCAAATTTCTCTCTGTGCTTTGATGCCCATCAACTTCTCCAAGGGTATGTATCTGTTCTCAGGGTTATGTTTCTACTTCTACCGTTTAATTCCAGAGCACTCTCAGCCAAACTGCTTTTCCCTATATTTCCCCTTAAGACCCTTTTCAAGTTTGTTAGCTCTTCAAGGTTGTGGCTTTAACTATATAGGGTTTTGCACATCAATTCATGACAGTGAGGCATAACTAGAGCCCAAATAATCCTACTTTTGAGCTCTTGCAAAAAACCTCCACCCTTCCTCTGTATCCAGAAACACAGAGATGAAGAGAATATAACAAAAACACAAAATCTGTGCCTCTCTTTGGTAGTGATGTTCTCAGACCTTGCTCTTCTGAGAAAGCTGAGTTAATTTGACTGAGTAGGTACAGACAGAAGTGAGGGCAGAGAGGTTGGGGTAATTAAGTAACTCAGTCAGCTGCCCTGTTTTTTCCCCATAATCATTAACTGGATGAATTGCTATTTCATTCCTACACAGCCTCTGAAAAATTACCTAAACCACCTAAATTTTTTTTACTCATAATAGTGGCTTGGTTAACATGGTGGCATCCCACATTCATTCCACAGGGTCTGGTATTAATGGCATCTTTTTAGAATATGGAATAAAACTGCAGGTGCTGCAGGAGTAATAGGAAGATCTTTGCCTAGATTCATCTCTGGAAATTTATGCTAAAATCTGAAAGTTAATAAGCCTCTCATGCACTGCTCACACACTACTGCTAGAGATTAAGGGTTATAGCTGCCCTTACTAAGGTCTCTGCAGGCTCCCACCTGCAGTGCAGTGATCACATGGGCCATCAGCTGGTGGATGCCTGGTTGATGACCTGAGGTATCTGTGAATGCAGATTAAATTTTTCAATGAGTTGCTGCTTCCCAACTCAGGAATGGCAAGTGCCACAAGAATGACCTAGCCTGCTGAGATGGTGAAATGACTCAATTTTAAGGTTGAAGCCCAGAATCAGCATTCACAGTGGCTTCATCTAATGTGGGTTTTTGTTGCTTGGCCGCTGCAATGGGGTCAGAGGGCACATGCAGTTGGTCAGAACAGTTTAACAAGCCAGACAGATCTTTTGAAGTCCCCAAA